TGGCCGGCGGGCGGGCGTAGGCGGGGCCACTGCGCAGCCTGGGGCGGGGGCCGGAGAGGATCGCACGGCTGGGCGGGGCTGGCCTGGGCCAATGCGCGTGGAGTGAGAGAAACGGGGCTTGGAAAAGCCTAGCGAGACCCTGGGCCTGGCCTTTTTCCCTTTATTCAAGTCTATGTTTAGTTTACTTTGTGATACGATGTGCAAAAACGCATATAAATAACATATTACATCTCACGACTCTGTACTCACTACCCAGCTTAGGGAAAATAACATGATCAAAACAGCCTAAACCCCCGTGTACCCTTAGTATCATTTCATGTAGTTTTCATTTTTCTATACATAGCATTATATGCTACAAAACGTGTTTTGGTCTATCCTTTCTGATGATCTCCAGCGCAAACTTCTGAGCTCCAAAGTTCTATATCCAGGATGCTTCTCTACTTGTATGTGTTTGGGTCACTGTCAGTCAAACTCAGCCTGGCATCTTCTTACCTCCAGGTTTCGACAGGCAGGCCTTCCCCGGCCACCCTTGCAGCGTATTCTATCACATGACTCCATTTAATTTCCTCCCATAGGCTTCTGCAGTTACTTCGCTGACTTATTTGTTTAAACTGTCCTTCTGGGCCGGCCCCGTGGCTTAGCGGTTAAGTGCGTGCTCTCCGCTGCCGGCGGCCCGGGTTCGGATCCCGGGTGCGCGCCGAGGCGCCGCTCCTCCGGCCATGCTGGGGCCGCGTCCCACATACGGCGACTGGAAGGATGTGCAGCTATGACAGACAACTATGTACTGGGGCTTTGGGGGAAAAATAAATAAATAAACTCTTTAAAAAAAATAAACTGTCCTTCTGCCCCTGGAGAGTAAGCTTCAGGAGAGCAGGGACCTTGTTTCTTTTGTTAAGGGTTGTTCCTGACAAGGGGCCTGCCACTAGTAATGCCCAAGAAACTAGTGGATAAATGTCCTGAGCTAAACTAATCATTCCATTCTTCCCCTCCCCCAAACCTGCTCTGCCTCTTGTATTTCCTGTCCTGGTGGTGACAACACCATTGGCACAGTCACCAACTCAAGAAAGTTTCCTGTTACCTTGGACTTCTCTCTTTCTCTCTCTCTCTTTCTCTCAGCAGCCCATCACCCACCTGGCACTTCTGTCTCCTGAAATTCTCCCAAAGCCATATCCTCTGTGTTCTTTCCATTGCTGCTGCTGATTTCAAGACCTCATGTCTCTCACCTACTTTGTGGCAAAAAAATCTTCTACCTGCTCTCACAGGCCACCCCTCCACCCCTCAGTCTGTTACCCCCCACTCCCATCCCCTTCCAGAGGCATCAGTTACTAAATATACCAACCCTTTGTTTTCAATCTCCCAGAGCTGTTGGAAGCAGTACCTTGACCAGACCACGCTGATAGATGTTCTGTGTGTAAACACAAAGAGAGCTTAAGTAGGAAGGAAATTGTGTGCAAACACAGGAGCTAGGTATTTGATTGCTGGCACTATTTAAAAACAACTCTTAGGAGCAGTCATCCAAAATACAAATACAGTGAGCATTCTATATTAAAACCATTACTCCCAGGCCTAGAAGGGTGGAAAAACTAGACTAGTGCTCCATATGTGGGAAAAAAGAAGGAAGGAAGGAAAGAAGGCAAGCAGGAAGCAAAAAAGTGAGTTTCTTCATGCGTTCTGCATCTCCCGAACCCCTTGCTTTACTTGCTTAGGAAGTCAGCGTTGATCTTAGCTAAAGATAATTTATGAAGCACAAGCAGGAAGGGAGGAGAGACTAATGTGACTCTGTTAATCAGGAGGGAGCTGCTGCTGTCTAGGCAGGATTTTAAACCCGAGGAGATGCCATCCTTGGAGCGCAGCCCTGCATCTTGCCTCCTCTCTCACAGAGGTGTCTGAGGTTGGGAGCCACGCTGCTGACGCCACGGCAGCACCCAGTCTCCTGCCTTCTTTCCCCAAGGACTGTCAGTGAAGGGCAGTGCTGGCCACAGAAACAGGGCTCCCACCTTCTTGTTAATAGTAACGCTGCCTTCATGTCAGAGTTTTTCTAAGGTCTTTCATGTATATTATCTCCTTGCATACTCACAATGTTTGGCAGCCCTGTTGTTTTCATTCCCTTGTTATGGATAAGCGGGACAGATTTGCTCAAGGTCACACAGCTAGTTAGTGTCTGATGCAATGATCTTTCATACCTCCATGCCTTGGAACATGCTGTTGCCTGGGATGTTCCCTTCCTCTGCCGGCCAGACTCCTTCTGGTCCTCCTCTGAGACCAGCTCAGAAATCAGCTTCTCTCTGAAGCTGCACTGTTTGCCTGAGGGAATCTAGTGCTTCTCTCTCCTGTTCCCTACCATTTAGCAGAGGGACTGTGGCTGTGGCTACCAGACTGTGTTGCTGCGCCATATTGCAATGAGCTGCACCAGCCTTCATTCCCTGGCGTACGTGTTGGTGGAATGAAGACTGGAACAACATTTTCAGAGGGAAGTCTGGACATTTGTGTCAAAATATTGAAATGTTCACATCCTTTGACCCCCACATTAAGGAGGCTATCTGATTCATTCATTCATTCAACATATATTTATTGAGCGTTTACTCGTTCAAAGGCAGTGTTCTAGGCTCTGGGGGGTACAGCAGGGATTAAAATGGATAAAAAATTTTTAGTGAAACGGTAGCTATCAAATCCCCTGATGTATAAAAAGCATACTACATCATGACCAGGTGAGATATGTCCCAGGAATGAGAGGTTGGTTTAACATTCAAATATCAATCAATATAGGGGCCGACGCGGTGGCCCAAGCGGTTAAGTGCGTGCGCTCCACTGCGGCGGCCCAGAGTTCACCTGTTCGGATCCTGGGCGCACACCGAAGCACTGCTTGATAAGCCATACTGTGGCGGCCTCCCATATAAAGTGGAGGAAGACGGGCACGGATGTTAGCCCAGGGCCAGTCTTCCTCAGCAAAAAAAAGAGGAGGATTGGCTGATGTTAGCACAGGGCTGATCTCCCCACACAAAATCAATCAATATAATTCAGCATCTGAATAGAATAAAGGAGAAAAACCAGATGATCATGTCAATAGGTGCAGAAAAAGCATTTGGCAAAACTGAACACCCATTCCTGAAAAAAGTTCTCAGCAAACTGGGAGCAAGAAGGAATTCTTTTACCTGGTAAAGAGTGTCTACAACAAACCTACAGCTAACATCATAATTAACAGTACAAGACTGCCTGCCCACCACCCTAAGATGAGCAACAAGAAAAGACATCTGCTCTTACCACTTATTCAACATGGTACTGGAGGTCCCAGTCAGTGCAATAAGGCAAGAAAGAGAAATAAAAGGCATAAAGATCAGAAAGGAAGAAGAAAACTGTCTTTAGTTAAAGACGATATAATAGTTTACTAGTAAATCCTAAGGAATCTATATAACAACTACTGGAACTAATTAGTGAATTTAGCAAGATCATAGGAGACAAGGTCAATGTACAAAAAAAAATACTTTTTTTGCTAGCTGCAAACAATTTGAGTATGAAATTTTTAAAAATTCTATTTACAATAGCATCAAAAAAATTCCACCAATAACAAAGAAGCCAGAGGTAAAAAAAAAAAAAAAAAAAGTACATGCTTTCATTTATATGAAATTCTAGAAAAGGCAAAACTAATCTACAGACAGAAGAGCTCAGTAGATGCCTGGGGCTGGGACTGGGAAGGGAATGGACTGCAAGGTGGCCAGAGGAAGTTCTGAGGGTGATGAAAATGTTCTGTATCTGGATCAGTGTATATATATTGGTCAAAACTCATTAAAAGTTACACTTGGGTGCATTTTATTGTATGTAAATTATATCTCAATAAAGTTGATTAGGAAGAAAAAAAGCAAGACAGACTACATTTATAAATATATGTACAACATACCAAGTTTAGAGATAGGAAAGGGCACAGACAGGTAAGTTAAATGCAGGGATCCCCTTGGGCGTTGCTGAGTTTCAGACCAGGGGACTGCTGCCCGACTTGGTGGGGGAGAGGAGGACATGTTTGAGTTTTTTGTAACCATTTGGAATTTTGAAGGGCCTGAGACTTCCTGCTGATCTGTTGCTGCTTTTTTCTTGCTTTCTTCCTCTGACTGTGGGCCGTTAAACCTCTAATTGTTTCTTTAATCCTTGTTTTTCTGAAAAAGCTGCTGGGTATTAGAAAAACATCCCCACCCCCACCCGGAGGGGCTGAAATTTCATATCTTTTCGGAGCATTAGAAGGAACATTTCAGTTTTGCAGAGGGCCTACGGCTGGGGCAGGGTGGGTTTCTCTCCTGAGAGGCCCCACCTAGAATGAGACGCTGAAAGGCCTGGGTCTGCTCAGGGGCTGGAGGGCAGCAGGCGCAGGTGGTGTGGTTGGGGGCAAAGGACAAATGCCCAGCAGTTTGCTGCTCTCTCTCCTTTCCTTTCTTCTGAACAGATGCAGCCTGAGCCAAGTTTCCAGCCACAGTCCTAGTGAGGCTCTGCAAGCAGAGCCTTCTCGTTCGTGAAAGGCCCGTGTTGTTCTGGCTCCGGCAAGGATAAGCCACTGCCAGCGAGTCTCCCTCTCCGTGTCCACCAGGCTGGAACCTGTTTTTCCAAAGTCTTTGTGAGACCATTGTGCTTGCCCTCACGTTTCGCCGACCATTTCTTTGAAAGAAAGCACCTTTGGTAAAATGTCAAATCTGAGAGGCCCAGACTTGTGTTCCGATGTATTTTGAAAAATGC